TTAGTGGAGACAGGTCAAAATTATTAAAAATTTAGAAACATATGTTTTTGGTTTTTAGAATTCTTCTAGGAATAGTTTTTTAGCTGAACATTTATTAACACATAGTCACTACATTAATTCATTGTATTGGGCTTAACTTTATCAAATTATTTCTTGAAAATGATTAATTTATTTTTTAACGTTGACTATTAATAATTTAAGAGTTTTTATATAAAAATATTTTACATAAAATAAAGAAAAGTAAATAATTCTAGGTAATTATACCACAAAACATAATCTAACTAAAATATTTTTGGTTTTTTAAGAAAAATTGATTTTATATTGATATTACGTTTTTTAAATTAAGATTATAGAGCTACCCTTATAGAAGAAGGACCTATCTTTTAAGAGACCTCAGAGGCTCATATTGGTCTTTGTTTTAATGCATACTCCAATAAATATTGGGTAAAATAAGAGTATAAATTTTAATAACCAGTTGCTGACTGTAAACAAGTCCTAATCAGCTAACAAATGTTCACATAATTACAAAAAAAAGGTATGTATATATATATTAATAATAAAATTTAATAAAGAATTTTATACATTGATAGTATTAATTTATAAAACTAATATATTTAAATTATTAAATGTTAAGTTAACAATATTAAAATATCTTAATAACAGTTACATTAAATTTAATACATCCTATAATATATCAATTTTATTTTCAATCTTCAGTGTAAATATAAACACATATTAAGTTAAATAAAATATTAGAATCAGAAATATTCGATTCCATTTTTTGTATTATATAACAAAAAACATCTTATTAGTTAAAATTAATATTATTACTTACTTAATTTTAAATTTTTTCTAATGTTTTAATACTAGCCGAAAATAGAATTCGAATTACACACGGATCACCGACAAACCACGCACTAGCGTGTATAAAACGTACTAAATAACGTCAACTGTTATAATAAAACATATTGCCGAACGATGGAAAAAAACTTTTCTATTCTACTGGCCTACACTTCCCCTACTCTATTACTACTACGCCTGTCAAACCTACTGATAATTTTATGCGATTATTATGTTTGCCCCACACGTGCATTTACACATGCCTACAAGAAACTACTAATCTGCTCAGCCAAATGAGTTGAGTAGAATAACAACAGTGATATCTTCTCAGACAATTATCTCATATTTACAGGAATTCAATAAATTTAAAGCCATTACGAAATCCCTCAAACGGTGTCGATAATATTCATAGGAAGAGTAATTGACAAAATATAAGCGCTATAGATATGATGTATATTTAATAGGCAATGGGTGAATTGAAATTATAAAAGTAATGTACATTCTTCGATTTATACCAGATATCATGTGGTATTTGAAAATAGAAGTATAGGAATATACTTAGTTTATTTAATATGTTAATATTATATATGTTTTAATATTAAAAAACGTATATTTAATATGTTTTTCATAAATAAAATATAAATTTTATTTATTCTTTTTATACAATTGTGTTACCTTTGTGTTTTGGTACACCTACGGAGCCACGGAAATAAATTATTATCTAGCGGATGTTTATGCATAGAAAAAATACAAATAATTATTACTACCTAACATACAAATTACATTCAACGTGTCAATTCTAATACAAATATTAGTTAATATTTTGATTTTGTACTTTTGTACGTATTAATTTAAAAAATGGCTAATTTAAAAGCAGATGTTTTACAAATATTTAATAATTCATCATTGTTGGGTCAGAATCAGTTTTACAGCTACAGAAATGTTCATTACGTATTTTACATTTAAGTGATGAAAATCAAAGATACATATTTTAGAAATTTACTCTTGAATAACGAATGACAACGTGTCCCTAGCCCCTTTAAAGCCTATATAAATGTATTAATAAATACAACTCAGAAAATAAAGACTACATCAATAGATGCATTAAAATTGCTAAACTGTAACTACCTCACTTAATCATATTAAACGTTTATATTTAATATAACATTACATAATACATAAAATATCTTTATTACGTATAGCAGATGTATATTAATTATGTACAGCATGCTTATAAACAAAAAAAACTCCTTAAAAAAATCAAATTTATATCAACAACAATATTTTCTTAAATTAACAGAATTTTTATTATTAATTACACTATATTTTTGTTTATATGATGAAATTTTTATTTTTCTACAAAACTAATAGTTAAATTAACAAATAATTCATTTAAAAAAAAGTTTATTAGACATTAATTATTAGTGTATTTGTTGATTTCATAGACGGATTTTTTTAGTGTAACCTTTCTGTATCTACATCTGATATCGTATCTTTGTATTAAATTGATTACATAAATTGTGGACAATTTAATATCTTTTCTAATTAATAATTTGAAAAAAACAAACATTTTTTTTTCCTAAAAAATGAACCCCTTTATAAAAAAAATTCTAGATTTATACCTGTAAATGATATTGATTGTTTAATGCACAAAAGTTGTAAATGCATTTAAAAGAATTTTTTCAGGATATTAATTTAAAAATGTTCATTGTCATGGGAGATAAATTATCTTTTATCTATTTAACATTAAATCGAGGGTCTAGAATTAAAGACGCTTATTAACAAACATTTGAATTTTTCAATTATTAGTCTATTCAAACCAAATTATATAATATTTTTTAATATGAAAATGGTGTACCAATAATTATATTGAAAAGAATATTTTTTTAAGAAGAAATACATTTTTTAGGTTAAATAGAAAATTTAATTTTGTTTTCATAAAGGTAATGAATGTGTTGATAAGCTTCTTTAATCCTAAGCCCGCCAAATTGAAATTCAAAATTTTATAATACTATAATATTATAGAATTTTAAAATAGTTATTATTTGTGTAAACGAAATCGCTAGGATTTCCTAATTTATTCCATACCTTAATCCATTTAAACAAAAATGTTATTTAATTTTTTTGTACGTTTGGCTGTCGATATTTAGCTAAGGGGGTCTAAGTCCTTTTTCAATGTACCATAATATTTACTTCTTTAATAAAGTGATAAGCAAAAATAAAAAGGTCAAAATTTTAAGTTTATTGGACATTTTTCGGACTATGTTCCTTCTTCCCCTATTAAGAAATCCAGATTACAACAAATTAATAAAATAAGAGCGTGTACATGAAAGCTTTGATGCGAAGATGAAAAGGAATAACAACCATGATGTTCTTATTTTTTGTATCTGTCCATGAAAATTCGTTGCTTTCGCTGGATTGATTGATATTTTATACGTTAAAAGAACCCAATTTTAAATATGTAGAAAAATATTTCAAAATTATGTTAGAATATTCCAATTTTGTTGATATAGTTTTCTAGACACAAGATAGAAATATAACAATTAATAAATAAAAAAAATTATATGTAATTTAAAAAAAAATCCTTAAAAATGTTCTCAACATAACTTCTATTTTATAAACAATGGCGTATTTAGATGAAATATAAGGACACTTTGCCCACCCCCTTCCAATTGATTATCAATGCTGATATGAAAATTAAATTTTCATGGTAGCTTAACAATATAAACATTTTATTTGTGCTTCCCTCATTATGAATTTCTAAATACACCCCTGTTTATAAGTTATTGAACGGATTGGAATGATTTATTAATGATAAGACACTAATTTTTTTTAGTAACTATTTAAACTTTTAATTTTTGTAAAGAAAAAAATTGTTTGTTTTAAAAAATTCAAATAATATAATACTTAGTTATTTTTTTTTTCATTTTTTCAAGTTAAAAAATTTAAAACTTAATTTTTTTTAATGGAAACCCATAATTTTAGTTTGATGTTATGATGGAAAAAAACTTTCAAACAATTTTGTCCTTAAAATTGTTTTATCCCATCAATCTTTTGCGTTTTTAAGTTGATTTAAGATTTGAATTTAAAATACAAATTCATCATTAATTTGGTTTTCATAATACTAAGCAACAATAACTTGTCTGAATGGGTTACATACATTATTATAATATATATTATAAGAATGTATTATTATCAGCATTTATTCTTGCTTTTGTAAGTAATTGATGCGATAAGAATTGTTAATAAAAACTTCATTACGTGATGACATGAAGAAAATGCGATTACATTAAGCTAAACTCAAATTAAAAATTTACCAACATATTACTATATTTATTAGTTTATTAAATCAAATTTGATTCAAAAAACTATCATGAAAGAAATATTGTTAACAATTTTTTCTTTTACGAAAAATTAAAATTTTAAATAGTTTTCAAAGAAAATAAGTGTTATCATTATAGTCGTAATTTCAACAAATCTTTTAGAGGGGTTAATTATATATAACTTTCCACTCTCTAATTTTTTATAATATAATTATACATATAGTTTTTCTGAAATTTTGGATTAGCTAAGCTTCTTCAAGCTCCCAAATTTGCTCATTATCTTTAATGAATCATTCTGTTTATCTCATTTTTATCAAAATTATAAACATTCTTTTTTAATAACTATTCGACGAATGCGGTTTTGAATTCTCGATAAAATAAATTTATTCACATATAAAATTGACATTGTAAATAAAAGAATTTGTACGAATGCGTTAACATTAAAACTCGTCTACATAATAGGCTTATGGATCGGTGACCATACTCAAGATAAATCTTGAGTATGGTCACCGATCATAAAAATAATCAAAATATCAAAATAAAAGTAAAATAAATGTAAAAAGTTTCCCTGCATGTCCGTAGTTCAGACGGCAATGGGAAATACTTAATACTACCCCTAGAATACACCAGTTGAACTAAAGTTGGCTGGTGTCAAACCTACATTCTAGCCATTAAAAAATGATTATTCATTATTTTTACATTAGAACATGGTAAAAATTGTCAGCCAATAGAAGTTTTAGAGGTTTAATTATTTTGTATTTGGTGCCCCTGATAAAACTGTTATCAAACCTTTATCTGGCTATTTTGTGAAACATATTTATCGCTTGAATGCTTAGTTATCTGTTAAATGTCAAAAATGTTATGTTGCTTTCAGTAAAAATAATAGAAGTTTAATAGCATTGATTCATTATATGTATATTTTCCAAATATTATGTTATTCGGTTTGAATTAGAATTTTAAAAGTATAAGTAAATTATAATGCACCATCGACTTATTAAAAAACTATTGATAGACGCAAAACGATTCCTTAGTAAACGACGAGTCTTAAAATGTTATTAAGAGTTAAAATTTTAATATTTTTATTGAGCTCTGTGTATGTTTATCGTATTGATGCTCTTGTAACTAAGGTAATTTGATTTTAGCTATATGGTAGTGTTAGTATTTTTTAATAATTTCACTATAATTAGGTTGATAAAAGTTTGGCTGAAATTAGTCATTTACAATATGAAGGTGTCATATTTTTATCTACGCTTGATGGTTCATTCATTGCAGTTGATCAAAATTCTGGGAAAACATTATGGAATTTCGCAGATGGTAAGTTAAATTAATAATGCTGTTTAATGTAAGTATATATTATTCACAAACTTTAACCTAATTATAAAATTGTAACTTAAATATTTTTATGTCAATTTAAATGTACAACAGAAGTATAGGCTGTGTTTTTATTTAAAAAAGTACACATTTAATGCATAAAGATTAATCTTTTACATTTTAATTTTGAATTTATACATGAAAGATTTACTTTTTACTATTATTGTGTAAATACAGTATTAAATTTTCAATTTTTTTCTTGTAATTTTTACATTTTTAAATATTTTTACATAAAATATTTATTAATAAATATTAATTAAATTAATTTTTATTGATAGATCCGCCAGTAAAAGTTCCATCTAATATTAAAGATGCATTATCGTATGTATACCAATTTTTTTTATTATTTGATATGTCTTAAAAGTTATTATAAAATTAATATTTGTAAATGTATTTTTATTGTAGACCACTATTTTTACCAGATCCTCGAGATGGTTCTTTGTACTTGCTACACAATAAAGATAAAGTTGGTATTAAAAAACTAGATATCACTATTCCTCAATTAGTAGCAAATTCTCCTTGTAGAAGTTCAGATGGAATATTATTTTCTGGTACCTTTTAAAATAGTATAGACTTAATATATAAAATAAATTTAACATAAAAATAATTTGAACTTCTAGGTAAAAAAATAGATAGTTGGTATTTTATTGATTGGAGTACTGGTGAGAAACATCCATTTTTAAATTTTGATAAACATGGTGATATTTGTACAGCGATAGCTTCAAAATCTATTCTTTTAAGTAAATCAGGTTAGTTGTTATATGTTTTTAAATATTATTTTTTTCAACTCACTGTTATGTTTTTAGAATAAGCTTTAATCATTTAATTCTTATATTGTTAATTTTATTAATTCTTTCAATTATTTTTTTCTAGAATATAGTGTTATTATGGTTGATAGCACTAGTAGAGATAAAAGACAATGGAATGTTACATTTTTCAGCTACAATTCCAAAACTATGACTGATGAACAGATCTTTAACCATGGTCAATATTTATATACATTTATAAATATTTTTAATTTCACTCTTTTACTAATTATAAATTTGTAGGTATGAAATATTTTTCTGCCAGTTCTTCTGGTCATTTTGCAGTATTTCATAATCATAAAGACAAGTTAGAAAAAAAATCTCGTGATAATTATCAAAATTTAATTTGGGAGAAAGAATTTGAATCACCTGTAATTGGAGTTTATTTACATGATGGTGAAAGTTTATTATCGTTACCTCTTACAAACATTGCAAAAGATTCAATGAAACATTTAATAACTAATATTGTATTAACTTTGAAAGATCCAAATACTATTAGTTATTTGTAAGTAAAATGCTTTTAATTCAGTTATTACTTTTTTAAAAACAATTTTTGAAAGGAATCAATTTACATAAAAGTATTAAATTTCTTAATAATTTCATCTTTGTTTCAATGATAATTTTGAACCTTATTAAATAATTTTTTTCATTTTATATTAAAATTTTTTTTACTAAGTGATACACTTTACATTGGCCATCATGTTGATACTGGATTATATGCCTTACCAGCAATTGCAGATTCTAGTGAAGTAAATCCGCTAGTGGATAGAGGTTTAATTGTTCTATTAGATAAAACATCATTTTCTGTATTACCTTATTACAGTGGAAATAATTATAATGTCGAACCAAGTAATGTTGAAAATCATACAATATTATTGGGTAATACATGAAATTGAAAGGTGTTTTCACCAATTGTTTACACAATATGAATCATTTTTAGGGCATTACCAGCTGAATCAAGACTTTAATACAGGAATACCAAGAATAACTGGTAATACTGATTCAATAATATACTATCATAACATGAGTGGATTTAACTATAGCAATAAACAAACTAGTACTATATCTACACAAACTCCTCAAAGTTTAGAATATGCATTTATTAGCCAAATATTTGGCGATAATGCTGGAATTAAAGTTTTTATGGTTTGGATAACGTTATTAATGAGTTTGATGTTTTGGTATCTAAAAAAAGAAGTAATTAAGATATTTTATATGTAATAATATTTTAGGATCTGGTAAGATTATCATTATTTTTAGATGAAAGGTCTTAAAAAGAATTCCAATAGCGGTTATAATAGTTCCCAAGAAAGTTCTAAAGGATCAAATCAATCGTATAGTAGCTCTTCTAAAATTGTCGAAGAACTGCCAGATGGAAGTTTTTCTATTGGAAAAATTATATTTCGAACTGACCATATATTAGGAAAAGGATGTGAAGGAACATTTGTTTTTAAGTAAGTTTTCATCTAAGTTGTTTATAACACTTTTTACAAAATTTTATTTTACTAGGGGTGAGTTTGAATGTAGACCAGTTGCCGTAAAACGATTGTTACCAGAGTGTTTTGTTGCTGGAGAAAGAGAAGTTCATATTCTTCGTGAATCTGATTATCATCCCAATGTTGTTAGATATTTCTGTACTGAACAAGATAAGCAATTCCGATACATAGCACTTGAGTTATGTGCTGCAACTTTACAAGTAAACTTTCAACATTCTTAAAGTTTTATTATTTTTTTTAAAGTTGTTATATTGTTCTCTTTAATGTGTTAAAAAAATAATTATAAACCTTTTTAAGTTATACAGTTAAAACTAATTTTCTCTGTATGGTAGAATGATTTAAATATTACTACTTTATCAAATTTCACCTTTGATTTTTGTATAGTAAGATAGATTAATTAGTAATAGTTGAAAATACTATGGTATTTTATTTGTTTCAAAAATCAAAAGAACAAATATTTTTGACGTTATTTTTCAAAATTAAATTAATTAAATTGCTGTGACTAAATACTATTTTTAGACATGTATATTTTTAGTATTTTAGTAAATATTTTTTTTAGGACTACGTTGAAAAAAACATTCTAAGAAATGAAATCAGTCCTAAAGACGTAATGTTACAATCAATCAAAGGTTTACAGCATCTTCACTCACTGGGTATAGGTAAATATTAACATTATCAATCTTTTAATTACAGGGTTGACTTCAACATTTATTTTGCTAGGAATATCTGTGTAGTAATAAATTTATTTATTTTTTTAATTTGCTAAATTAAATATTGATTTATATAATAATTTATGATAATATTATACTGTAAAGCAATATATTTTTCATAAAATTATACATTTACAAAATTCATATTTAGTGTTTTGTAATTGTACATTGTATGTTGGATATTAACTATAATGCGTACTTGATATGAATCTCAAGAAATGTTTCTTGACTGTTTTTTGTTATTATTGTTATTTAAAAGAATATAATTTATTTTAATAGAGAAATTATTTATATAGTAGTTATAAAGCTGTTGAAAAATAATACATATTACTAGAAATTACCCTGCTTATTAAATAAAACCAAGAGATTTTAGAGCTTGTCTAATAATTTATATTTTAGTTCATAGAGACATTAAGCCCCATAATGTTCTTCTATCTACCCCATCTCGTGGAAGTGGTAGTTTTAGTAGCGTAAGAGCACTGATTAGCGACTTTGGATTATGTAAAAAACTTCAAGGAGGAAAGATGTCATTTTCAAAACGCTCTGGTGTTACTGGTACTGATGGTTGGATTGCACCTGAAATGTTTACTGACAATGCATCTGTTGTATGTACTATATTAGTTATTATTAATATTAATGTGTGCGATTACTTTCTGTTTTAAAATATTTGATTAGTATTATTCATAAAAAAATAAGTTGATTATTTGATCCAAGTTTACCTATGTATATTAAATTATTTTCTTTTGTATTATATAATTTTTTTAGTAAAATAAAATAGGTTGAAAGTAGTTTTTCTATTCTAAATTATCATTAAATTGAAATTTTTTTCTTAAGTTTTAATAACTTTTAGGTACTCTTCTAAAGAAATCTCCATCATCTTTTTGTCACTAAAAACAAATAATAAGAAACATAAAAATGCATAAAAAAATTATAAGAGTCTTCAATTAGATCTATTCCATTTTATACAATAAATGTTATTTTAAAATAAAATCTAGTTTAAAAATTGTTAACTAAATGTTTTATTAAATATAACATCTTTTTATTTTGCAGACTAAGTCTATAGACATATTTTCCATGGGTTGCTTGTTTTATTACATTCTAAGTGAAGGTAAACATCCATTTGGGGAAGCATTATGGCGTCAAGCAAGAATATTAGATAAACGTCAAGCTCCTTGGTAATATAAAAATTTTTAAAAAGTTTTTTTTTTTCTGAATAAAGTTTATTTTAATTTAGCCTTAATGCCTTAAATGAAAATGAAATTTGGAAACGTTTAATTATTTTAATGATAAGTCGATATCCAGAAGAGAGGCCAACTGCGTCTGCTATTCGTTCATATCCAGCATTTTGGAGTAGTTGTACATTACTTTCTTTTCTTCAAGTATATTTTCATTCATTATAATTTATACTTTTAAGTTGAAATTTTATCAATATATTTCACAGGATGTTAGTGATAGAGTGGAAAAAGAACATGTTACCAGTCCGATTATGTTAGAGCTAGAAAAAGGTGGTGATGGAGTTATAGGAAGAGATGGATGGCATGATAAAATAGATGAAGAAATAACCTCAGAACTTAGAAAATATAGAACATATAGAGGAACCAGTATAAGAGATTTATTAAGAGCTTTTCGAAATAAAGTAGGAAATTAATTTACACATATTTATTAAAAAAAATTATATTTTATCTTATGATTTATTCCTTTTTTCCTTAAAAAATACAATTGTAACAGAATACATTTAAAATTGGTTATCAAAATGATGAATTATTCTTTTTTTTTTAATTTTTAAATTTGAAGCCATCAAATTGCTAATCTTAATTTTTAATTATTTTAATTTTAGAAACATCATTTCCGCGAGTTGTCTCAGGAAACACAAAGATTATTAGGAGATGTTCCTGATAGTTTTTTGGAATATTGGACTGTTAAATTTCCATTGCTGGTATATCATACTTGGACAGCTATGCAATGTTTGTCTAATGAGATTACATTTACTAAGTACTATACCTCATGTTTTGTTTTTCCACGGACTGAATATTCCAATATTCCAAATTGGGTTTATGAAGCAGATCAACCTATTGCATTTAGTAGCTTACAAAAAACATCTAGACGGTCAAATATCCATACAACTAGTTGGCGACATAAAAAACGTGATAAATTACTCAAAACATTTGAACAATGACACCATTTTTAAATTTAATATATGGTAAGTTATGACTAAAAATTATAATAATTAATAAAAAAAGAATAATTTTCACATTTTTTATTATTTTCAAAATTATGTTGTTTTATGAGATCTGCCCCTTTTTCGGCAATCATTGCTACTACAGAATTTGTGTTTCCACTTGGCATTGAAGGCATAATCGATGCATCAATTATATATAATTTATTTAAATTATGAACCCTGTAAAAAATAAGTATGAATGTACTGCTTATTAAGAAATATTTTCATATATACCTTAAAGAATGATCCACAACACTTTTTTTATTGTTATACCCCATTTTACATGTACCTACTGGATGATGGCAAGTAAATGTCATATGTCTTACATAACATTCCCAATAATGTTCCGACCCAAAATTATACTTGTCACAACCAGGAAATTTTTTTTTGTTAAATTTTGCTCCAAATTGTGATAACGCATCAGTTTCTGTTATTTTTTGTACAAGTTTCATGCCTTCAACTAACACACGCACATCTTCTTTATTTTGCAAATAATTTGGTTCAATAATAATATTTCGATCTGAGTTCAGTCTAACATGTCCCAAACTTTTTGGATGTAATAACACTGGACCTAGTGTTATAACTTGTTTTCCCACTAGGGGTTCAAAATACTCTTTCCATAACTAAAATCGTATTACATTAACAAATTTAAATGTTAATTAATATAATTTTTGTTATTAAAATAACTTATTTAGACCTACTTTAAATTTTAAATTTAAATTACTAAAGTACATAGATCCTGCATCAGATGTTAAACCAAAAGGTAATAACATAAGCTGTAACTCAGGTGATGATAGAATTTGATGTTCAGTTTTATTTTCTTTATTTGGTAAACGCATTAAACCTACTACTTCACATCCAGGATGGGTCCAAATTCCTAAAAATTATTAATCCTTATTCCAGCTCAAATCAGCAGAGAGTGAGTGTAAATACATACTTATTCCAAATAGAATAAGTATGTAAGTTAACAGATTATCTCGAAAAAAAAAATAGAAATAAATTGCTTCATCCTAGAGAGTCAAACACTAAAGTTTGGGAACTATTTTTTAATATGAATAAAATTTTAGCTTAACTTCAAACATTCAATACTAGCTGGTAAAAATAATCTAGTGAAACTTAACATACTTGATGTTTTAAAAGACTGAATCCTGCTTAGTCTCCCTATTGGCATATTACATTTATACTTATAAACACATAAAAATATTATAAATAGGTATAAATGTAATATGTAAACATAGAATCTAAGGGATGAAATAAAAACCTGGATTATCTAGTGTTATATTTTTGTATAATATTAAGCTAATTGATTCTCCAACACAATGTCTTATTTAAAGATCACCCTAATAAATATATTTTTTTGATAAGTGAGATTTAACAAGTGAATTCTTTAACTATTTAAAACCAATGAATTTGAATTACACTATGATTTTTTTTTTATGTAATAAATTAAGTGATTTGTCTATGCTTCTTTCAGAATATTATTGCTATAATAAAAATGTATTAGTACAATCATTTAACAATAAAAAAACTCATATCATGAAAAAGTTCTGTTAATAATATTTAAATAGAACATACCTTAGATTTTGAAAAAACATGTTAAGAAGATAGGATTATTAAATAAGTATAGATACCGTGCACTGGATTGAAAGGAGAGTGGTGATGAACAATAAGTTAACAAGTGTTGGGGTCCATTGTGTACAAATATTTCCCAAAACTTAAAATTATAAAACTAAGAGTTTTTCAAAATTTACTCATCAAACTTTTTGTTCCAAATAAAAAACATAAAATTGAATTTTAAATTGCTCATCATATTTTTTATGTTTTATTGAATACTATTGCTCATTTAGATTTTTGGATTAGATGGGGTTTTTATTTAGCTATATATGTTTTTGTAAAATATTTCTAAGTTGTCTTATATAATGGGCACTGATATTACTTCATTTATTGTTAACCAAAGTGCTCTTTTTTAAGCCTGATGCATGGTGTGGTGTTTATACAAGAATTGAATAAATTTGAAATTGCACAATTCAATTAAAGGAACCAAGTTTCATTTATTTTTTAACTTCTTAGATACCAAATATGTTTTTTAAATGGCAATAAATGTTCACATAGTGATTAAGCTAAATTATATTAAGAGTAAAATGTCAAAAGTGTTTATTAAAGTATACATTCCTGACAAATGTTGTTCATTATAAATTGTTCATAATTTCAATTCAATATATATTTAAATTGTCAAAATTTAATTAATTTGCATATTTTATATAAAAAATTTAATTTATTATTTTTCATAAAAATAAAAAAAATTTAATCATCATGTGACATTTTTAGTTTTATTATACATATTTTGTTAGAATAGAATTTTACACTTGGCAAAATTATGTTCCCATACTTGGTAAAAAATTAATTCATTCTTTCAATATTTATGGTGATTCACTTATCATATACTACTACATTACTCACATAACAATAATAATTATTAGCATATTTTTCTTTTTTTCTAGTAATATACAAGGTGTCACCTAACTGATAATACTTATAATTTTTCATATAATTATAATTAAAAAAAATTTTTATTTATTTTTCTTATTAGCTATAAACTAATATAAAATATGCTTTTTATATAGTCTAAGACAATAATTATTTAAAAAAAAAAATGTCTACAATATGATAATTATTGAATTATAAAAGTTATAAGCGTTGTCAGTTAGGTCTGAGACACTATATATATGTACATTTCTTAATTTTAAACTTTAATGATTTAACAGATACAACTCTTGATTGTTCATAAGTAAATCACTTTGTAACATACAATTTTAAACACATTATATTTTGAACTATTGATTGAAAAAAATAAAAATTCAAATTTTAACTTACAAAAACTTGTAAAAGGTAACTCTATTTTTTATAAAATGTTATATTTTTTCAACTTAAGTAATTGTTAATAAAATTAACAAAAAAATGTCTGTACAATAAGTTAAAAACATAATACCTCAAATTTGTGTAATATCCTATATTTTTAGATTTATGTTTTTCATTATTTGAAAAATAATGCTGGTAATAAAGCTATTCAACTTTATTGTTTTTTTGTTTATATGAATATTAAATTTTCTTATATATAGGTAAAAAAAAAAAAAAGATAAATGAAATAATTATTGAAGAACTCAAAGTTTTAATAAAAATAAAATTTAATTTATTTTAAATACATTTTATTTTTTCAAAAATAGAGATACCTTGGTTTTCATATTTTTATTCTATTAAAACTTAATGTTACCTTTGCCCTTAAAAATGTATTTATACATATTTATAGGAGAAATTAAATCAATAAATGACATTCCTAATGATTGTTCTAAAATAATCATATCCATTCCTGTAATAACATGATCCTGTAAATTTTCTCCAACTGGTAAATCAATAACTGGAGGTATCTTTAATATAAAAAATGATTTAGTTGAATATCAGAATTATTTTACAAAAGTAACAGCCATCAATATTTAATAACCTTTAATGTTTTAAGTTGATTAACTGGTCCTATACCACTATTTAATAGAATTTTTGGAGTATTTAATGTTCCTGCTGAAATTACTACTGATTTTGAAGCCAATACTTTGAATGAATGACCATATTTGGTATATATTACACCCTGTGCTTCATAATTACTTTTGAATAATATCTGGAATGAGGGAAAACTATTACAATCAAATCTAAATATTTTATTAAATAACTATTTACCTTTTTTACTTCAGCATTAGTAAGAACAATTAAATTATTTTGTACTTTATTCTTTAAATACAGATGTTCAGAACTCAATCTAGAGCCGTGTTCTGTTGCTACTGGAGTAAGAGAAAAACAACCATTGACATTCTCAGATAAATAAAAATTATCAGAGTTCATGTCTAAAGAAGTAGTGTAACCTAACTCTTTAGCTGCTTCAAGAATACTGGTTGCAACTGAAGTTGTGTGAGATGGTTTCTGACTAAAGAATTTTTGTCTTTTTTTTGGTGATCCTGGGTACATATGTGTTAATTTAATATTTTTTTTATTATTTGAATTATTTGTACATAATTTGTAAACATATTATTTGTTAAACTAAGGTACTTAACACTTTAACTTTTTAAATTTCTATTGTATATATATTTTTTATCACAAGTTATAAAAAGAAATATATTTACCAAAATATTTATCAGCTTTTTCATATTTTTTAAAGTAATATAAAACATCATCTTGGGACCATTCATATCCCGATTGCCAAGTTAAGTAATCAGTAGAAACATGACCTCTTAAATGGATATTAAAATTTAAGCGACTAGTACCACCAAGTACTTTACCAGTTGGCCACTGACTGGACTTAACATAAAAATAAATTTATGCACTAACTGGGTTCAATCTATTGATGAAGTTAATATTTAATATATTACCTTATTATTCATTGCTAAACATGCTTCTTTTTGTGATACTGTGCTATGCTTCCAGTCAATTACTGATTTTTGGAACATTGATGTAGCTAATGGGATATCATGGATTGAGGATACTCTTGGTCCAGCTTCTATTAGGAGTACAGAGTGAGCTTTGTTTTCAGCTAAACGTGTTGCAACAATAATTCCAGCAGTACCACCTCCCACTAAAAAGAAAAATGTAGTATTAAATTTTATAGAAAAAAATTTAATTTGCTAATATAAAAAATAATTTATTAACTCTCTCACATAGCATTAAATTTAGAAATATTTATTATATCCTACATGTCATTGATATACCTTTTTTTAAACAACGAAAGATTGGGTTTTAATAGGATTATTTTGTCCTTTATATATTACCCAATTTTTCTATTAGAAAGATTAATAACTCAATTATTAAAAATTATTATTATACTTATGTAAGTCGTAGTTCAAGCAATTATTAGGGTAGTTGAGCTGTAAAAATAAAATACTAGCTCAGTTAAATATACTAATAATAATATGAATAAAATTTTATAAAAGGAGGGATAAAAATCTAAAAACAGTGCCTAATTTGAAAAATATAAATGAAACTTTAAAAAAATTGTAATAGATCATTTACATTTTAATTATTTTTTCTATGATATATAATAACACTATATTAAATAAAAATATAACATAAACATTTCATTTTCACAAGTTATTTTAGAACTACTTAATAAAATTACTTTTTATTGGCAATTAATGAATTTTACTTACCAATAATATAATCGAAATATCTAGTTGATAATTCATTTTGGATGAATTTATCCAAAAATATATTAAAATAATAATTAAAAATTAAATATATTGCAAATATATTGGCTAAAAATGCGTATAAAAAATAGAGAAACTGAATATACATGTTTCAAAATTTTAAATAGTATTGAATAATCTTAAATTTTACTGTATGATGATATGTTAAACTTGTTTTAAGAGAATATTTGACCAGTCATTGAACTTCAATAAAAACGTTATATTTTACTAAAGAGATAGAAAGATATCAAAATATTATAGAATACGATAATCAAACTTGAATTTTATCCATTGAACAAATAGTTTTTAAAGCTATTATAAATTAAAATTTCTTAATTAATTTAATAATAATGTAAACATCTCAAAATTATAAATATAATTTTCTTTTATAAAATAATTAATAAAAAACTCTATATAACATTATTTTGAGTAGTATGATAACGTACCCGTCAACGTACTCACATTTTCTTAGATAAATGTTAGTGATAAGATAATACCTACTATCTACTAACTTAGTAGTGGTGATTTTATTTTAGGTGGATCATACTACATCCATTTTGAATCTACGTTGGACAAACGGCTCTATGCGGTAATCTTAAAAAGGAAAACGTTCATTATAAGTATCATTTTATAATCTTTGAAGATTTATGGGTAATTGATCCAAATATTTCATCAATTAACAGTTCATCGAATTCATTATTAATCACACGCACTTATAATTAAAATAATATACACCCTAATATTATTTTTAATGTGAATGTTACCATTTACGAGCAAAGCAATTTGTTCATTAAGAATACAAAACATACTCAACGCAAAACTACTTTATTTCTCCACTCGTAATCTAAAATTTTTAAAGTATAATGAGAAAAGGTGAATTATCATAACTCAGTTTCTATTTCAGATATTAATTATATAAGTATAGATTATACTCTGGTAGCTTCAAACACTATAAAAAAAATCAGGAATTTGCAATTTTTATTAATTTCAAAGCTCTTTAGGGCGTTTCTAAACCCAATGTTCAATCAATTTAAAATTATATTTCTGAAATTATACTTTAATTATAATATAAATATACTCGCAAGCCGCTTTAAAGGTTAACGCAAATAGAAAAAAATTAAATCCCCACAAAAACATAAATGTAATAAAAGGCCGTTCTACAATATCCCTCTCATAAAAAAAAATACGTCGTTCAAAGTATTGATATGTCTTCACTTTTTCCTCACCTTAATCCTATGTACTTGGGGTAGGCCACCCTTATCCTAAACTTCCACTTGACACAATCTCCCACATCATTTACGCTCACATCAACTGTCCTCAAATCGCATTCAATTACATTCCTCCATCTCTTTTTTTTCTACTTCTTTTTTCAACATTCATTTCTATAACTGTTCTTACAGCTTTCCATTCCTCTCTCTTCATACCATGACCAAACCATTTAAGTCTATTTTCTCTAATCTTATCCACGATTGACGCTACACCTATACTCCCTCATATAAAAGCTTGTTCCTTATCCTATCTTCTCTAGTCACTCCTCTCATCCATCTAAGCATTCTCCTCTCTGCTCTACTTTCTTGTCAACCACCCAACACTTTGAACCATACATCATAGTCTTACAGAATTTACCTTTCAGCTTCATTGGAATTCGTCTATTATATATATATATATATATATATATATATGTATCTGTTGTTATATTACCTTGCTTCACACAATGAACATTCGTAAGTAACATACCTTTTTATTTGTATCGTTTAACACTAGGTTAGTTTTTCGTCAAATACTGGATCAATATTCAATTAGGTAGTACGTGGAAGATATATTTATCTTTTTATCCAAAAGAATTTTTTTATTCCAAGAAATAAAATGGTTAACTAAATGAAATTTAACGTCTTTAAGTTATTAAGAAAACTCTAATTTAAAACTAATATTAAATTACAATTAGCAACTACATTATGGTCATTCTATTGGTACATATGACCATTTTACCATTTTGTAAACTTAATTTTAAAAATTTAGGAGCTTGTAATGTAAGCAGCGTTTATTTAGGTATACTTTAAGGAAGCTCCAGCCTTCCTTAACTATCTAAGGGTTGCAATAATAATATAACTATTTTCGAAAATGAGCGATGTTTCGTTTAATATTAATTTCATAAACATATATAACTTTTTTTTGTATCAATGCTTAGAGCTCTCCTCCCAAAATGTATAAATGAAATTATAAAACAAAATATGAATATAAATAAAACACTGAATTCAACACTGAGTGTAAGACAGGTAAAAAATTATTAAGAGTAAAATGTAACCGTTTTAAATAAATAAGATGTTTCAAAATAGTAAATTGAATAAATACGAGGATATAATAAGTAACAAAACAGTTGATAAATATTTTAATTTTTCGATTATAAAAGTATACACAATAATTAATAAAATAATAATAATTATTATTATCTTATAATTAAAAACAATTAAGTAACAAACAATATAAAATATTAATATTTGTCCAACTACTTTTACAAGTAATTTTCTTATCTTTGTAATAGTTTTTAATTTATTAAACTAGTTTTTAAATATTTTATAGTTGAAAAGAAGTTAATAAGCTAAAACTTGGCCCTAATCAGTCGTTTTACCTTTTTCTATCGACAAACACTTTTTATACAAAATCACTAGTAAAAAAATTTATTTAAATTACTAAAAACTTATTTACAATATATTTGATGTAATACAATTTGTTATAATAATAAAATCTACTCAAATGAAAGTAATGATAATTCAATTAAAACAAAATAAATTATATGATTTTTGGTGTTAATAGATTATCAAATTATAAAACTCATTTAAGTTTTATTATTTTAATCCATTCAATTATTTTGGTTTTTACGTATAGTTACGAAGTCTATTATTTTGTTTTCTTATTATAAAGCATGTAGTTATATAAATCACATGATATAAATTATTTACTTAGTAATGTCAAAAAATAAAGCACTACATTGAGTATGTGTCTTAAATATGATTGATTGGGAAAAAATTTTAAACAAGGATTTCTAACATAAAAAGTCAAATATTAACTATAGGAACATAAATATTTAAAATGCAAAAATAAATTTTATATTTTTTACAGATTTGAAACTATTATGTGGGTAATATTAGGGTAACTAGACTCAACATCCTACATATTATTTGGAAAGCTTAGAAATTTCTTCAGTCATTAAGACCTTGTCTCTTTTCTTCTTCTAACATGGCATCCAATTCATCAGTCAAATTAGCTAACATATTGCCAATATCATTCAAAACATCGGCTGGCTCTTTTTTACCACTATTACAAAATATTTGTTTATTTTCATTAAATCATTTATAGTTAATAAAATTTTGTTTAAATTACCTTAATGGCAAAAGAGAATAATTACTGTTTGTAGAATGTAAAGGGTTATTTGTAGAAGACAATAAGGGATGAGATCCTTCCGAGAGCAATGGTTGAATGAGTTCTGAAATTTACCACCAAATATATATATATATTTTTTTGCAATTTTAAGTTATTTAGAAATTACAAACCATTTGTTGATCTTAGAGTTCTTGGTTTGATTGTCCCTGCATTTTCATTTGCAAATGGAATAGAATCAGATTCTGCACTTGAAGTGGACTAAAAATTTCAAAAAAAATATTTTCTCTTAAACATGAACTAATATTTCCAAAAAGAAATAAATATAGAGTTTTTAAGTTATTTTTAGTTCCTAATAAAAAATAAAGACACTTATATTTAAAGGTTTAAAATAAATTAATATACCTTAAAGCTAGCATTTGATCCAGCATTGTCATCAGTGCTGAGTTTAGGTGATAATACTTCATTATTCCATTTATTAGAGCATTTTAGTTGGAATGTTAAAGGAATATGTTTATCAGGATCAACAGAAATTATTTGGTCATCAGTGCTTTCAATAGAGAGTTGTCGTTTTGGTGGTGATGGGGGCCTTCTTTTTAATGTTCCTGCACTTGGATATTCATCACTACATTTGATAAAAAAAATACTTTTTAAAGTGGTAAATTAAAACAAGATTGTATATTCTTACGTGTTTGTTTGGGTGAATAAAGCTGGAATTCTAGCAACCAATCTAGGTTTCACTAATCCTCTTGGTCGTGGTAAGGTACCTCCTCTTCCACTTTCATGAAGTATAGAAGTTTCATTTGTTGGTGTAATATCTCCATCTTCAAAACTTTTTTGCTGACTTTTCCACTGGGAAACACCAACAAAACTACTAGTTCCACCAACAATAGTAGCATTATTATTTTCATGTAAACTTTCTAATGATTTTCCACGATGTGTTCCTCTGACCTAAAGTTAAATAAACATTAATTTAAAAATAGTTTGAATAAAATTAGCCAAAATTTATTTCAACAAAAAATATTATTGAACAAGAATCAACTACTTAGGGGGAAAAAGAATGAATTTTTTACCGGTTCCTGAAATTCGAGTATCCTATTCGAATCCGGAGTAGGTCTGAGGGGCTTTATAAATTCACAAAGCAGAAATTTTTTAATAAGCAACATGATACTAAAAATGTAAGTTGTATAATAATACCTTAATAGGAACAATATCAGTTTGACAATAGAGCTGTTTGCTACTCTCTAACTCCCAAGGTTGATGAAAGCTGTGGTATGTAGCGTGCACACGCGGAAAATCAAATTCAACACTTTCTGTACCACAGCTACTGTTGGTAATGCTTGTTCCACATCCAGAGCTGCTGCTTACTACACTTAATGGAGATTCGATGCAAGCCTTTTAGATGCAATATTTCAGTCAATTAGCAAATTAAATAATAAAATGATGAATGTTAAAAATAATGCGATGGAGAACATGCTATCTATATTTTAAATAATTGAGCATTCCATTCATTTACTTATGCATAAAAAAAATATTAAATTTTACAGCCCAGAGATCAAACATAGCTAACAAAATCAATTTCCATATTTTATACAAAAGGTACACTTGATCAAGTTAAACTTTAATAAAAAAAAAGTATCAGAAATTATTAAGGTTAAAAATGTAGTAATCAGTTACGATGCATATTTAATAGATTAAACTCGTTCCTCTGATTTTACAGTACTTATATCTAACTAACAAATATATTTTTTATTGTTAATATAATGTTATAAATCATGTTAGGTTATTCCAGATTTATCAATCACCGGTACAAATTTCTATTAATAGACTTCGAACTTGGTAATGTGTTCTAATTGGGATTATAGTATTGAGAGGATAGGGAGTTCATTTTCCCCTAAATAGAAATTATTTCTACACTAATGTATATTCCAACAACAAATTTACACACACTTTGGGTTTATTTAAAATCGTACAAAAGATTTTTATAAACATATATTTAATTACAGACTTTATTATAATACAATATTTATCAATGAAATGTTTAAACACAATATCCCCTCAAATAACACCACAATAATTAATTATATCATTTAATTTATAGTAAATTTGTGAATATGATAAATTCAAAAATACTCTTAACGAAAATTTTAAATTAAGTCCTATATTTTTTTTAATATTTCTTACTTGTGTTTGAACTAGATAAGGTGAATGGAGTGAAAATAATTTTCCAGCTTTGATATCCTTAACTCTCTTAATAGCCAATAATAATCTTTTTTGATGACCCAATTTAACAATTCCAATATCTTCTAAATCTTCCCATGTTAATTGGGTAACATCATCAATAGAAGAATATCCTTGGGCTTTTAAAGCTGATGCATATTCTTCAAGTCGTAGTAATTTCAGCCATTCATTTAATGACCCCTTTAAAATAACAATTAACATTTAAACTGAATAGATTTTTAAATAATTGAAAAAACAAAAATTATCTTACGGGTATATGATCAGGAAGTCCATCTGATATATTAAGTAAACCTATTTCAGCTTTCAATTTTTTTCTATGATTTGGTTTTTTTACTCCAATAGCAGTCAAATCCTATTAAAATAATTAGATTTAATTATTAAAACAATAAAAAATTATTTGCTTGAAGTGCTTGAGGATATATCCATGTAAACATGGATATATCCTCAAGCACTTCAAGCAACAAAACAATCCATGAAAGTTTTAACACATTCATAATAAAAAATTATTATTATATTTTTTTAATTATCATTATTATAATGCAAAATTATAGCATGATTTGATGTAATATTGTTATAATAATTAAAAAAAATAATTCCATAGAAAAAAATAACCACCTCCGGTGTCATTTTTGAGATAGTTCTCATATCATAACCAGCATTTAAGAACAACTGTAAATATTCTTCTAAGTGTAAATCAACTAGCCAACTGTATAATATATCTTTTTCCTAGAAAATAGAAAATAAAATTTACTTTTTATAACAAAACAGAGTAAAAATGAATTTGTAACTAACGGGTACTCCTTGATGAAGGAGTCGCTCTACTCTAGTAGATGGGTTAAGTTCATGAGACCAATATGAGTTTCCTTTAAGATTACAACCAGATGCACGACCACTATCTAAGCTAGCAGTTGAGTATCGAGATCCTGAACCAGAACCCGATGAGCCTGGGCTATCACGACCAGGACTTTGAGTCATATCAATTCCTTGGTCTTCTTGTAGTGACAATTGATGATAATATGTTTTCATGTTTCCAATTGGGTGTGAATACTACACAAAATATTATTTAGCAAGAATAATATTTTATCTTAAATAAAATTTAAACTTACAAAAGAAGATCCAGGGAAAGTAAAGTTTGTATGATTATATTGAATTGATGGAGATTTATTTCCAATTGGGTAATATGATTCTGTAGTATCATAAATATCTAAAACATAAAAACACATTAAATTATATGTACTTCTTGATTGGGTTGAATAATAAATAACTTATCTAAGAATTAACACACTATAATGTAGTTAAAGTGGAAAATAAATAAATTTTCTATTTTACCCATTTTGTGTAAAATATATTAATTTTTTTAAAGAAAAAAATTAATTTGCTCAAAAAACTACAATATTACAGTCAAATATTTTTATGCAAAAAATATTTTTTGATTGCATCAATAAAAATTTTCTACGCTGATCATTAACATTTACAACAGTTAACTTGCGTTACATATAAAATATGCATTTATTAATAGACAAGAGGTATTAAAGATAAGAATTCTATAGATAGGTAATAACTTAGTTAATAAATATTAGTTTATGTGACAACATTGAAAATTAAAGAGTTCTGTTATTCTTAATAATAAAAAATAATTTTCAAATTTATCACAAATTATTAATTTGCTATAAAGAATGAATGATAGGATAAAAATATTATAAGAAAACAAACTTGTAATTTTCTCTATCATATTACTTAACTTCTTTTATTCAAAATTTTTATCCTTAAAGGGGTATAAAATAAAAGATTTAAAGATAAAATAAATAATTATAATTGTGTATAAGACTAAATCTAAACTGTATTATTGTATTTAATACATAGTATTAAGTACACTCTTAATATTATTTCTAATCATTTTTGAAGTATTAGTTTCATATGTTCTTTCTATATTTAAATATTATAGTTGGTACTAAATATTTTTATAATTTTCCTTAGTACATGAACTTTTTTAGACATTCATTCATTGAATAAAATGTATTGATAATTAGATAAATTTATTAACTATACCTGGTTTGATTCCTGAACTGGATTCTATAAACGCATCATCATTGGAACTGCTATACCCAGTTGATCCAAAACTACTACCAGAATGTCTACATGCTGCTAAATCTGGAATAGCGGGAGGTGCGACTTTTTTGACTTGTGGACTATTTTTGGGAGTTTTATTCATGTTGCTTACTGAAATAAATAAAACGATAATTTCTTAAATTTATGAATATCTCTAATATTAATTTTTATTAAGTATATAAAGCTGTCAAAAAAATGTATTTAAAAATTCTATGACAATTTATTTTAGACCATTGAAAAAAACCTTTACAAAAATAAACTTAAGTGTATTATTACTATTACTATAGAGACACTTAAAAAAAAGTGAAAAGCCTATTGTGTAAGTTTAGAAGTATATTTTAATATAAATCCTAAATAATAATTTATAGTACTTTTTTTATAATACAACATAAATATTGTCATTTCGCATACAATAAAAAATATTTTTAATTTTTTTTTTTTATATCAAAATATAATTAGCTCTAGCATTTCCACTAGAATTATCAATTTAAATCAATGAAGCTAATTAAAAAAACCTATAGTTAAAAATAATTGTAATAATATTTTCACGAAAAGGGGAGAAGTTAGATCCTAATTTCTTCTTTATAAACAAAATCATATTGCTATTACACTCAATAAAATTATTTTAAATAGAACAAAAAATTCTGTTCAAAATAAGTTTGAAGTTATCTTATTTACCTAAAAAAACAACTTATATAAATAGATTCAGCAAAAAAAAATATTTTTATAATGAATAACAACATATTATATTATGTTTATGTACAAACTTATTACAACTTTTATAATATATATTTACAAGAAAAATTATTTGAATAAAACAAAGCTACTATAATTATGACACCTAAAATATTAAAAAAAATAATTGTTTGTAAATAATTTGTTTTCAAACATTGCCCATTGACAATTTAAGATGCTTCATTTTTTATATTTTTGCACTAACACTAATAACAAATACTTATTTTAAAGCAAAAAAATGATAAACTTAAGTGTATATTTTCTACTAGATTTTCTCCCAACAAATTAATTAGTAGATGAATAGTACATAGAATTATCTTTTTTATGTCATTTCTCCGTTAATTTATTTTTTGAGTTTTGTCATTATTCTACTCAAGATTGACACAAATATTTTTTATCGGGAAGGGAGGGTCAAAATATTTTTTTAAACATTTGGTTTTACTATCGACTCAATAGACCCCCAGTATTAAAAGGAGTGTGATCTGGTTTCTCAGTCAGAGAATTAGGCTTTTTTGGAGGCCTCGCTATAAGCGCATCAAGAAAAAGAGCTTTTATCATATTTACTTTCCAAAAAATTAAAAATTGATGTCATCAGTGGCGTATTTAGAGGGGAGCACGTGCCCCTCATTAACTATGTCATGTAAATATTTTATCAAGCAATGTAATAATGTATAATATCATTAGAAAAAGTTATTTTTTGGTTATTGATGTTATATTATTGATAATAACATGGGTTTATGAAATGTTAGTCGATGTAGTTGTCTTGTGGAGCAAAATTTAACGCCCGCATAGTTGTCCCGTTAATGTTATCACCTATTTTTGAAGTGTTTATTACATAGAGATAAAACTGCATAAAAAGAAATATTTTTATTAATAAAAATGGATTCAAAACAAATGACAGATTTTAACATAAAAAAATCTAAAATTGTGTTGACAAATGTTATGAGCAAAAAAAAGTCGTTTTATGATACCTTATTCATAAACATTTTTTGTGCCCTCCCCCCTCCCCGCCATTATAAATATCTAAATACGCCACTGATTGTCATATATATATAATGTGTTTTACGATAAGGAAAAAAAAAAAAATGTTTTTAATTCTGATATTCATAATATAATTTTATAAAAATAAAATATTTTTATCTTTTAATTAAACAAAATTTATAATACACGACTATGAAAATTGACCAAACAAATAGTCAAGAGGAGACAATTGTCCACTTTGCTCTGTGGACGCTCATGATTTTAGGCAATAGACAATATATTGAACACATATATGTCAACAAGCCAGTAGGGTATATTAATGAAGGACATTTATATTTATTTCATTAAAACATATTTATTTAACGGAAAACACAATAAATAGATAGTAAAATTAGTATATAATATAATTCAGAAAAAAATTTCACATAAACAGCATGCAATTAATATTTTCAAATTGTTAATGGTACTCTAAACCAGTTTTCTGAAAATGGTTATTCGTACGGTGCGAATACATAAGAAATGTAGGTGTGTTAACACTTTTAAACATTTTTAAGTACGTGGGATGTTTAAAAATCTGTAACTTGTAAAGTAAAAGAATTATAGTGTACTTAAGAGAAACCACATTAATTTATTAAAATGTTAAATAAATTTTATTTATCTAATGAGTTATAATAAAATTTTAATAAAAATGGTATTTAACGTATGCAGTTGAATAGACATTTTAATATTTATTTTAAAGGTTACAAACATTCTTACTTAATGTTTAAAAATAATCAAATCGTTTTAGACCTAAAAGATTATTTTCATAAGCGTCTACTTTTATGTAGATGAATCACGAATATATCATAAGTTAAACATACCAGATGTTCATATGGTATAATAGAATGAAGGATTGCACGTGAAGAAACTAGTGGTTAATAAAAACTACCACTAAAAATGATTATAACTACACTTAAATTACTATCACATGTATGTATTAAAATAAAACTATTAATATATTACTCGCGTTATTTTAAAAACCAATAAAAAAATAGATTAATTATATAAATAATTATTTTTACTTTAAAAGTAACAAGCGCCGCAAAAAAGTTGTTTGTAAGCAGTAGTGTGCCTAGAATTAGAGGGGAGGAGAGGGTTTGACGAAAATATTTCGCTAGAAGGTAGTTGATCTGTGATAATCGCATGACTTTTCACAAAATCACATTTTAATCTAAAATAACCGACAACATTTTAGGACGGTTATCTCAAGGGGTATATATTCTTCATTTTACTCACTCACCACGCACCTGTGTTTTAAGTAATCAATAAATTATGGCGTAACATAATTCATTTAGCAATAACTTACCCTAACTTATTTTAAATAAATTAAAAAGCAATAATTTTTTCATTTACAATAGTTGCTTTTAACATAGTCGTAGGCAAGTCACACCAAAATTTTAATTGAGACATAGACGCATAACGTTGGTTAAAAAAATTAAAGACAAAGAACATGGATAAATTATTGAGGACTAATCAACAACAACATAAAACGAATCAACAAGTCCAATAAACAAAATAAGAGGTAGTAAAAATTTTTTTCTTTTTAATCGATCAACAAACCAGCAGACCCTTTTTGATTAAAGTCATAGCGAGCAAATAGAATATTTCTAGTTTTACAGTAAATGACGAAATAACCACATTAAGATCATATTATGACGTAAAAAAATGGTATGCCCATTATAGAAGTATAATTAATGTTCTAAGGCAAAACGAAGAATAAGAACGGTAGTAGAAAACGATAAAACAAGTACAAATACGACTCAAAACAATAAAAATTAACAACTCTACATACATAATCAAAGTTTAATCTTTTTATTTTGGGTGCTCGCTCATTCAAATCAATGAATAATACACAAATTTTACTACCATTGAGGTTATAAAATCATTATTCAGATACACGTCAGGTAAACGAGTCTGGGCAAAAACGTTGGTAATATGATACTTACTGTTTAACAAATTTTTCCAACTACCGCTAAGCGCTTTGAAGTATTTCGACAGACCGAGCTTTGTTTCTGTTCCAGCACCGGACGCAACAATACATTTACGTCGAGCAAGATTTCCGTCTGATCGACTTCGGAATAGTGAAGATAACGGCCGTCTGTTACAGTTTGCGTGGGATGGCGATGGCTTTGGCCGTTCGTCCAGGAATTCTGTTCCGACCAGTATAATATCGTTATCATCAAAAAGACTGTCGAAACTCTCGTACGTTGTATCTGCCATGTTATCTTTTTTGTTGTTTCCGTTGCGTCGCACAGACGAGAACCTTCTCATGAACCCTCCAAAAGCTGGCTTCCTGTCTTCCGAAATCGAACGGTTCAGCACTCGTTTGCCGGGTGGTAAGGGCGGATGGCCCCATAAACCGTAAGGTGTCATTCCAGTCATGTTAAAGCTATTAAAATTCTATCGTCCAAATGGACACATCCAGACCAGTTAGCTATATTTACAAACGCATAAAATACAGCAAATGTAAAAACAATAACATCATAAAACTACAGCATGTTAATCAGTTGACTAAAACTTGAGCTTAACAGTGTAAATCGATAAGAACACAGTTGTAACCCATGACCCTATGAGCATACACTAGACTCATAAACATAACGAGATTTTTATGGGAATAGAGTAGAACTAATTATTATTTTTCTTGATACAGAAACCTTAACACAAATGTACTGATAACTTCAGTGTACTGTGTTCGATGAATATTTTAGCCGAGAAAGCATTTTTTTACAACCAAATCGTATATTATCTTTGACCTTACATAATTATTTCATAAAAAAATTTATCACGTTTCAAATATTAACGAAACGTTTGCATTACCTAGTAAATTTTAACATAATACTTTGTTATTACATGAGTCGCAGTTTAAACTTTGGTTTTGCTCAGTATGTTGAGTAATGCACAACAATAGCGATTATTCTCAGGAGTCCATCCAAAATGTCTTAAAATATCACGCGATGGTATAAAAATTGAACATTCGTGAACGACAGGAAACTAATAATATCGATTTTAAGTTGTATT